ACACGATTCCTTTCCCCCACCTTTTCCCCAATTCACTCATCCTGTTCCTCATTCACTTCCACTAATCCATGTTTCTCATCCAGGGCTTTAACCTCATCACCTATTCCTTATTTCTAATATCCTTGACCTACTTCCTCACTCTCATCCTCAGTCTTATCCCTCAGTTTTCGCAAACACTTTCAATTCATCCACTATAATAATCCAGATCCCCATTCCGAACTCCGTTAGTCTTCTCCCTCTCACAAGCATCAGTACCTCACACATCACCTCCACAATACCACCATCACATCCACATACCACTTCATCTAACTACCGCAGAGAACGACCATCCCCTAGCACCACAAAGCCCTCCCCTCAGCATCACTGCAGCTACACCCACTACAGTATGCCCTCACGGCTACTCTAGCACTCGCCTGAAGGTCGCCTTGGTCGAAGGTGGCGTGGTTGTTGCTGTTGCCCTGGTTGGCTCGCTGCAGAAACTTGGCCGCTTTGGGCTTGGTCATACTCAGCGTCTCCTCGCCTCCCTTGCCCTGACCCTTCACTACCATGTACACCTGAAGAATGCAAGTATATTATATGAAATGAAAAACACAATGGAACCCTTGGAAGACGTTTCGGTCTGTCTGAAGCCATTATTAAGTTGTGAACCGATACTGGGAGGAGGAGAACCGAAGCGCCTTCTAAATTTCTTAAAAAGAGTCCTTAAAACTTTAAAGATTTAAAAGTGCTAAAACCTTGGAGTAATTTACTGCCGCTGTGAAAGTTAAATATAAAAATACATACTAACATTGATCAGCTCAAGTCATCCCACAATTAAATTTTTTTTACCAACATACAACAAAAAAATCAGTAATATAATTAGAATAATTAGTGTCACTATAAATATCCATATTTATAGATAAAAATTATGGTTTTATTTTTAAATTGTCATTTTTTTTCATTAAAATTTAATTTCGCTAAAATACTATATACAATTTTTTTTTTTTAGAATTTTGCTAAAATCTTGGAGTTTACTTTAGAAATTTTCATAAAAGTTAGTAAAATTAGCAGGACTTTGAATAAAAGTGTAAGACCTGAAAAACTAAACTTTAAATTTTCGAAAAATTGTGATAAATTGATTTTTTTAATATTTTTAAATTATACCTTATACCGTACCTTTAATATACCATTGAAGAGTTTTGAGAGTTTCACTACTCTCGGAGCCCGGCCATGGGCCAGGCTCGTCTGGTGCTTGCCTGGTCAACCAGGCTATTGCTGCTGGAGGCCCGCTGCCGCACATGTCCACCATAACCTCGTTGATATAGCACCTGGTGAATATACTTGTCCAGTTACCTCTTGAAGGCTTCCACACTTGTTCCAGCAGTGTTTCTGATATCTTCTGTTAAGATGTTGAATAGTCTGAGACCCCGAATGTTGATACAGTGTTCCCTTACTGTCCCCACCGCACCCCTGCTCCTCACTGAGTTTATTTTACAATTCCTCCCATATCTCTCACTCCAGTATGTTGTTATGGCAGTGTGCAGATTTGGGACCAGGCCCTCGAGTACTTTCCAGGTATATATTATCAGGTATCTCTTTCTTCTCCGCTCCAATGAGTACATATTCAAGACCTGAAGGCGTTCCCAGTAATTTAGGTGCTTTACTGGCTCACTGTGAGCCGTAAACGATCTTTGTATTTGTTCCAGCTCTGATATTTCTCCTGCTTTGAACTTGGCCGCCAGCACTGAACAATATTCTAAGTGAGGGAGCACTAGAGAGTTGAAGAGTGTCACCACTGGCATTATTTCCCTTGTTTTGAAAGTTCTCGGTACCCACCCAGTCATCCTCCTGGCTGTCGTGATCTTTGTCTTATGCTCTTTAAAAGAAAGGTCAGCTGACATAATTATTCCCAAGTCTTTTACGTGTTCCTTTCGTTCTATTTGAGTTCTTCATTCTTTCCATACTTAAGCAGCTGGAACTTATCACCATTGAACGTCATGTTGTTCTCCACTGCCCACTGGAAAACCCTGTTTATGTAACAAAAAAAGGCACAATACCGTGAATGGAACGATACACAAATAACCCGCACATAGAAGAGAGGAGCTTACGACGACGTTTCGGTCCGACTTGGACCATTTACAAAGTCACACTGCTTATGTCTTTCTGTAATTTTTCAGTGTCTTCTACCGTACTGACTTTCATGCTTATTTTAGTGTCATTTGCAAATGATGATACAAAAGTGTGATGGGTGCTTTTGTCTGCTATGAGGATGAGAAACAGCAGAGATGCGAGGACAGTACCTTGGAGAACTGAGGTTATTACCTCGCTGATTCTAGATTTTGCTCTGTTTACTACTACTACTACTTTCTTTGTTTTGTGTGTTATGAATCCGAAAATCCATCTGCCTACCTTCCCCGTAATGCCAATGGCCCTCATTTTGTGCGCTATCATTCCATGATCGCATTTGTCAAACGCCTTTGCAAAATCTGTGTAAATGACATCTGCGTTAATGGTTCAGCAGCTGTGACAGACATGATCGTCCTGCTCTAAAACCATGCTGGTTCGGGTTGTGCTGGTCTATGAAATTTGTAATCTGCCGTCTCATCACTCTTTCGAAGATTTTTATGATGTGAGAGGTTAGGGCTACTGGTCTGTAATTTTTAGCTAGTGCTCTACTACCTCCCTTATGCAAAGGAGCTATGTCTGCACTCTTTAAGGCCTCTGGTATTTCACCTAGATCTAAGCTCTTTCTCCAAAGAATACTGAGGGCTCGTGCTGGTGGTACTCTACACTTCTTTATAAACAGGGCATTCCATGAATCTGGTTCAGGTGCTGAATGAGTGGGCATGTTGTCTATTTATCTTTCGAAATCTTTCGAAATTGTACTAATGTCAATTAGTTGGTCTGCGCGGCCTTCGGCTGGAGTGAAAAGTATTTCAGCATTTTCTACCTTGTTGTCATTTAGTGGGTTGCTGATCACCGACTCATACTGTTCTTTTAGGATTTCACTAATTTCCTGTTCGTCAGCATACGAATCTCCTCTCAATAATGGTCTAATTCTACAAGTAGTTCTTAGCTTAGATTTTGCATAGAAATAATTTTTTTTTTTTTTGCAATATCCTGTATGACCCTTTGTACTTTTGTTAGGTATGACATCCTAAGTTTTTGATCTAATTCAGTGATCTCTCGGCTAAGACTATCTTTCCTCTGTTACAGCATATTTGTGTTTTTAAATAATTCAGTAACAAATTTTCTTCTGTACCATCTTCTACGCTCTCTATATCTGATCTTTTTCTGGGTTTCCTCAATGGTACGTGTTTCATACAGATTTTGTAAGCTTTCATATTCAGCTTCTCTAGACATTGGTGGTGATTTAGGGTGCTCATGTCTGATTCCCAGGATGTCTGATAGCTCTTGGTTTATTTTTTCCCCAGTCAATTCTATGGTTATTAAAATTAAACTTATTGAACATCCCGTCCCTAACAGTGATGCAATTCCCTAACCCTGCGTTAATACTCGTTTGAACTTCTATAATGATGTGATCAGAGTATATTGTTTTTGTAATTGTTATATCTCTGATTAGTTCCTGGTTATTCGTGAATATCAAATCCAGGGTATTTTCATTTCTAGGGGGATCAGTTATCTGTTGGTTCAAAGAATACTTTTCACAAAGCCTCATTAGTTCCCTGGTATGTACCTGTTGGGCCAGGATGCTTCCCGGAGATATTTCTGGTATAAAATTGTGCTGCACCATCTTCCATTTTACATGAGGGACATATAAATCTTCAAGGAGTAAAATATTTGGTGTGGGATTTTCTAGCCTATCCAGATAGCTATCTATCTTCCTTAACTGATCTGTGAATTCCTCAGCAGTTGCTGATGGTGGTTTATATCTAGGATAATTATCAAATTCCTATTTTCAACTTTAAATGCCTATTATTTCTACTACATCATTCGTAGAATTCAGCACTTCTGTGCAACAGAAGTATCCTTTACAGAGGGTCCTACTTCTCCCCATAATCTATTATTAATCTGATCACATCTATACATGTTTCTGTAAATGCTCCAAACATGGCATTCGCTTCTGACAGTAGCCAACCGACGTAACTAACTTTGTCGTTTTTATTTGATTTCAAACCCTGAATATTTGCAAATATGACGCAGGAATTACCGTTTGGGATGTTTTGTTTTGGTTTGTGTTTCGTTAGTACCACTGGTGATGTACTACCTGGTATGGCCCCTGGTGTACACGCCCCTGGTTTCTCCAGTATTGACGTTGCATTTGATTGTGTATTCGACCCTGATGGGCTGATGCCTGGTTTGGCATGTCCCATTGTGCAGTCCAGCTGTCCCATCTGTAGCATTTCCCATTTTTCCTTCTCTTAGGCCCTATTGTTTCTGTCTAAAAAAAGATCACAGTTCATTTTCTATTTCTCTGCTCTCTGTAACGCTGCGTTCCTTTTACATGATGGTCTGGGCAGCTCAGGTCGTAACATTCCCTGAACGGTGTTGAAGCTTGGCACATCACTGGGCGGAAGTACCTCCAGTCTTAGTCAAAGCCACACTTTCGGTTAATCAACATGTTCGCACATTTTCTGTTGTTTATTCCAGCAAGCTCTGCCATATAGGCACATAACTTTTGTATAATGTCTGCGAATGTTCTGACTGCCTATATTTACTGAGTTTGTCTTTCCCCGATCCGTATTCTCTTTTCTTTTATCTAGGCGTATTTCTTCCCTTTTTTTCATTTTCGTTTGTTCCTACTATAGCTTTCTCTTCCTCCCTTTTCTATGTTATGTACCAATGTTATGTCAGGAATCTTCAAAGAAATTGCTGGAAATTAAAAAAAAAAGTACCCTTTTTCTAAAATATTCATAAAATATTTGTATTCCCCCAGAAAAAATGCAAAAAAAAAAAATAAAAATAAAAATAAAAACATTATTAAAATGTTCATAGTTTTATAGATTTTAATGTGAAACTCTCGGGAAATTTTTAAGTATTAAAGAAAAATTTAAAACCAGTTTACAAAAAAATAAAATTTAAAAATTGTTTCTGCCAGCCTTCCCCCAGCCAGCCAGCCTCTCTCTCTCTCGCATCATTTCCTCTCATGTACATGTTAATATAATGTTCATATTGTATATAAATATATCGTGCCGAATAAGTAAAATCGGTCAATTAGCAAGAACTCATTTAAAATTAAGTTCTTTATAAATTTTTCTCTTGTACGTTTAAAGATAATTTTTTTTCATTTATGCTAATGTAAAAATTAATAATTTTGGACCAAAAGTACCTTAGAAAACTTACCTAACCTTATTATAGCAAGCGCAATTTAATTTAGCCTAATCCAACTAAATAGATTTTAGATAAGTTTACAATAATTTAATAAACAAACACAATGAATTTTTTTTTTTCGTTAGGTTCAGAATGACTTTTACGAAATTATTGAATACACAGATTTTTTCTTGCCTTATTCGGCAAGAAGAGCGTTGTTATTTAAGCCAAAATAGCAAGTTTTACCTGTTCGGCACGTCAATCAAACACACACACACAAACACACACACTCACACACACACACACACACACGCACGCACTCCCCCTCCCCCTCCACTCCCTCCTCCCTCCCTCCCATCCCTCCTCCTCCCATCCCTCCTTCCCTTCATCTTTGGCTACTCACTGTTTACCTATTTTTCCTGCTTTTTCTATGTTCTTCTCTTAAGTCTCCTTCCATCCGTGACCTCATTCCTTTCCTCCTTTACCTCCGTCTACCATTTCTCTCTTGCTTACTCCGTCTTCACTTGTTTTTTTCCACTTTTCATCTCTCAATTCTGTCCTTACCCCTTCAGTTCTCCTCCTTCTCTTCTTTATACCCCCCCCCCCCCCCCCCCACTTTTTATTTCCATCCTCTTTCTTTCCCTATTTCCAACCCTTCCCTTCCTTCTTCTTCCATCTCACCTTGTCCTCCCTCCCTCCCTTTGTCATATACATTTTCAAATAAATCGCCCATATTTTTTTTCAACATTGCCTATGTCTCTCTCTTCCCCTCTTCGTATCTCTAATTTCTTCACCCTCTTTGTCTCCTTCCTCACCCCTTTTTATCTCCCCTTTTTCTACATTCTCTCTCACCTTACTGCCGAAGATGATGACGATGAGAAGAGTGATAGTGAGCTGTGTGTGGCAGAAGAAAATGATAAACAGTAGATCAGGATTGGCCGGTGACTGCAAGAACAACCTGGGGGAGAGAAAGTAAACAGGGTGGGAGGGGAAAGAGAGGATGGGTTGGAGGGAGAGAGAGAGAGGGCGTTGGAGAAGGAGAGGGGTGGAGGGGGGGGGGGGGGGGGGGGGGGGGGGGGGGGGGGGGTGGGAAAGAGAGGGAAGCTCGGGGGAACGGAGGGGAAAGAGAGGGAGGTGGAGGGGAAAGGGGCGTTGGTGGGTAAGAGAGGGCATTGGAGGGAAATCAAGGGTGATGGAGCGGCAAGAGAGGCGGTTCGGAGGGGAGAGAGGGAGGGTGGAGAGGAAACAGGAGAAAATAGAGACGAGGGGAATGGAGAGGGGTGCGAGGGAAAACAGGGAGAGAAGAGGAAACAAAGGAGCAAAAGAAGCAGGGAGGAAGAAGCACAGTGGAGAGGAAACAGAATGATTGGTTTTAAAGGAAAGGACAGAAAAAGGAAAATTGGAGAAGGATGAATGGTGGGAAAGGATGATACCGAAAAAGGAGAAGAGGCAAGAGACGTGTGGAAGCAGGGATAGAAGGAAGAAAAGACGGAGGGAGGGGGAAGATGTGTGGAACAGAAAACGGAGTAGAATGAATGAGAAAGGGAGAGAGAAAATTGCAGGAAAGTGGAAAAGAGGGAATGGTAAAACAGTGCATGGAGGAGAGAAGTTAGCGGGAGGAGTAAATTTGAGCAGGTATAGAGGAACGAGGGAGGGGAAGAGAGTGGAGGGAAGAGAAGTGGAAAACAATTATAATCTCTTGAAATGATAATGGAATTCAAACTATTAATGTTCAACGTAATATATCCTCAAAATAATGAAAGTTTAATGATTAGTGGCATTCAGAACAATAACCGGTGATCAAGGTGTAAGTCACAGGTTATAGAGGTGGTACCTCTATATATGGTTTAGAAAGACACGTAAGCAAACACTATGATATATTTTATTAGAAACGTTTCGGTCCTGGGACCTTGATCACTTCTAACATACAGAGGTAGAAAGGCATTATATATATAGGCGGAGAGTGAGGTGTGACGCACGTGACCTGAGGAATGTCATAAGAACATAAGAATGGAGGAACACTGTAGAAGGCCTACTGGCCCATGCGAGGCAGGTCCTTATCAAAACACCCTCTGCCTATGATGAGGACGGGTAGACGCGATGAAAATCATGTGCTCCTGTGTTGTTGGGTTGGTGGTGCTTAAGTATCATGTATTGCCAATGTTTTTGAAATTTGTAGTTTACCTGTGTTGCGTTCTATTGTGTCGGTGACGGCGATTTGTGAGGCTTCTAGGCACCGTCCGGCGGTCCTGAGGTCTAGTTCAGGTGATACCGTGTTGTGCCTCATTCAAGTTCATCTAAGGTCCGTGAGTCTCTGTGGAGGACTCGGCGTTACCTTACATCGTCTCTTTTCGAGCTTTCGATGCTCATTCAAGCGGACTGAACAAATCTCTGCCTGTCTCGCCTACATAATTTCTCTGAGACAGATCCACAGGGGATAGTGTAGAAGACTGCTGTCGTAGTTAATGGGTGTGGGCTTGCTCTTTCGTTTTCGGTAGTGAGGTCTTTGATAGATGATTGGGTTTATGGTGGAAACATTGATGTTACTCAAGCAAGTGCCGGCGAGTATTCGTGGCATCATCACTCACCAATGGAGTCTATGAACTGCCTTAGGGGCTGTTCCATGGGCGGTTTGTTGAGATTGCTTGTGCCGTAAGTCTGCAATCTCGGTATGAAGAAAGATGGAACTTGAAGTCGTGTAAAGGCTTGTGTTATGTAAGTGCATTCTTCTTCTAGGAAAACAAGGGCTGGAGAGCGAGAAGCCTCTAAAGAGAAAGCCAATGAGGACTCCTCTCTTAGTGCGGGTGTCTTGGTGTGAATAAAAAAGTGTATAAGATCGTCCCTTGTTGGTTGGTTTTCTCTTACATTTGAAGAGAAGTTTGTCACTGTCGGGAGTTCTGCCACAGTAGACTCGTCGAGGAAGGAAGTTTGCATCATTTTCGAGTTCAAGTGTAAACTTTATTGATGGTTTCATCTGCATCGATCTTCTTGAAAAGGCCTGGATATTGAGACGTCTCGGATAGAAACCAATACTTCTGCAAACATATCTTAGCCAGGTAACGGGTGTTGGGATTGAGGTGTGCTGAAATTTCTCTGTCTCCAGTTTTCAATGAAGAGGTTTAGCAAAGCACAGCACTGAGCGGGCTGCCCCAATTGAATCCAAAGCACTGTTTGTAACGTTGTTCGGATACTTGAAGAAGTTGTAATTAACACAACAGTTACACTAGATTGAGAAGTCTAGAAGTAGGAAAGGGAGGTTCATGGTTTTCAGTGAGCCTCCTGTCTCTGAATCTGATTGCAGCGTCTGTAGGAACGTTCGGTGAAGAGGGCTGTGACATCGAGGAAGCAGCTTTTGGTTTGGACATTCAGGTGGGAAATTCGGGAGAGAAGGTCACCTGAGTTGCTTGAGGTTGGGCTTGGAATGATGGTGCCAGAAGCGCGGAAAGGTATTTGGCATAGGTTGGCCGGCCTTGTCTGTGTGGTGCACTCCCTAGCCCGAAGTGGATATGCCGTGTGGGATGCGCCCAGGTTTGTGTGTCTTGGAAGGCCAATACAGGCGTGCTGGGGTTCGGTTAACCTGTAAAAGTTAAGTAGTTTTTTGCATTGTTCTGATTTTCGTAAGATGCTAAGAGCCTTAGAAGAAAAGGTCTGGTGTACTTTGAAGTAGCACTGATTCTAGATACAGGTGGTATGTGTTGACATCGTTGAGATGATTTAAAACTTGATTGTTATAGTCGACAGTGTTGAGCAACACCACACACCACTCCTTTGTCAGCAGTTGTATTGACGATTTCACTTAGTTGTTGCGCCAAGTCCTGAGTGCTGGTTGTATCTTCTGGAATGTACGGTCTTGAAGGATCAGTAGCGGCTAAGCAGTGAGATTCTCATTGAACAATGCCTTTTCGATACTCGGGAGCTCCAAAATGGTTGGTGCTTGGTGACATTTTTCACTACCAGATTGTTTCTTGTTGGATGCGGTAGTAAAATGAGCCCTAGGGCTGAGCGGTCTCTAGTCCGGTGACGGTTAGTGTATAGGATGATACAGTTATTTATGATTTTGGTCGTCCCATTTCGCTCCATTTGCTGTGGGAGCACAGGTACTTGTAGTTTTCGTGATAGCTTCAATGTCTGTTGGATAGTTGGCAGTGGTATTTGGCTGAGTATATATTCTGCAGTTCTTACTGTAGGAGTAGGAAGTGATGCACGAATCTGAGCGGCACCGTTATGAGGCCCACTTGAGCATGTCGCAGAGAATATTTCAGCTACCTCATTCCAACACCGTTTTCCTGGCTAAGATACGTTGATATGGATTGGTTTTCTATCGAGGAACATCTCAATATCCAGGCCCTTCTCACAAGATCAATGCAGTTGAACCATCAATAAAGTTTTACATGACTCGAAAAATGATGGCAAACTACCTTTCCTCGTCGTTCTTACTGTGCAGATCTCCAGGACAGTGACAAACTTCTCTTCATAAGTGTATAGAAAACCTAACAAAAAGGGACGATCTTGTCCACTTTTATTCCACACCAAGGACACCCGCTCTAAGAGAGGAGTCCTCATGCTTCTTCTTAGATGAGCTATTCGCATCTCCAGCTCCCTTGTTTTACTAGAAGACGAATGCACTGCACTTACAAAGCCTTTTTACACGTCTTCTGTTCCCATCTTTTCATCCGAGATTGCAGGATTAAGGCACAAGCTATTCTCAACAAAACCGCCATGGAACAAGCCCCCTAGCTGTTCATAGTACCTCACCATGTGGTGAGGATGCCACGATTTACTCGCCGGGCACTTGCTATGAGTAACATCACGTTACATCCATAAAAACACATCCATCTATCAAAGACCTCACTACGAAACGCGCCCCACACCCTCTAACTTCTACAGCAGGCGTCTACACTATCCCCCTGTGGCGTTCTGATTCTCAAGAATCATATGTAGGCGAGACTGGCAGAGATCTTGCACAGTCTGCTTGACATGAGCATCGAAATGCCTATAACAGGGAAGATGTAAGGTACGTCCTGTGTCCTCCACAGAGACTCCACGGGAATTTTGATGAACTGGGAATGAGGCACAACTCGTTTCTCACGAACCAGACCTCAGACGCCGACGGTGCTAGAAGCCTCACTAATGCGCCCGTTCACGACTGTATAGACGCAACATGGAATCTACAAAATTTCAATATACATGCATACATGATACTTAAGCAGCACAACCCAACAACACAGGACGTCACATGATTTCATCGTCTACCCGTCCTCATCTAGGTAGAGGTTGTTTTGATACGGACATGCCTCGCAACTGGGCCAGTAGACTTCTACAGTGTTCCTCCATTCTTATGTTCTTATGACATTCCTCAGGTCACGTGGCGTCACACCTCAATCTCCGCCTATATATTTAATGCCTTTCTACCTCTGTATGTTAGATGTGATCAAGGTCCAGGACCGAAACGTTTTCTCAATAAATATGTCAGTGATTGTTACGTGTCTTTCTAATACCAACACTTGTCGGTATTTAAATACCAAGGTTTATTCCCACCTCTCTTCTCTCATCTCTCTCTCTCTCTTCTCTATCTTTCTCCAATATTTATATATATATTTATATATATAGATATATATATATAACTGGTTAGCAATATATACATTAGATTAAAAAGAAAACCCAGTATGATTAATAATCTCTTAACTAAGGATCCTTTTAAAAAATAAAACCCTCGAACCGAGAGTTTTGAACACCGTTGCCAAGGTGACCGGGTTTCGTGCCACATTGTGAATATTGTTGGCTGTAATGATCCGGGCTACTCTATAGGCATGGGCATCCGCTTATTTATTATCTATAAAGAAAGAACGCTAAAACCAACAAGGGGGGGGGTTATACACGCGCTGCCGAGGCAGAAAATAGTGCTGGGGGGCTATAAAACAGCTAGGTGGAGAGGGATCAGAGGCGTGGGGTGGGAAT